CTCCTCGTCCTGCTCAAGCCATTGTGGGTCAGGCCTTCTTGGGAGGAGGCCCCGACCCACACACGCGCACGCGTACCGTGTGTCGGTGTCCCGCGCGCGCGGGGCGGCCAGGCACACCCGCGGCTTAAGGGGCGCCCAGCAGGGGCGGCGAAAGTTGCGCGTGAGACCTCGGATGGCCAAAGGATGAAAGCATGATCGCCCGAGATCGGCCAGCCGAGGTCGGAAGAATGAATATCTCGTGTGTCCTCATTGCCCTCGTTCTTGGGTCTTTGTGCACAAAGCAAACAAAAAAACAAAACGGGGTGGGAGAGTTGCCGAGAGTGCGGGCGTCTGTGGAAGGATCCAGCCCGTGCGGTCGTCGCCTTCGACCTAGGGGAGGAGGAGGGCGGCAGCCCGCCCCTGCGCTCCTGCCTCAAGGGAAGCGGATCGGCCCGAGACTCAATCCTAGAGGACTTGCTGCCCAAGTTCAGCAAGGCCAAGTCCGACAGACAAGGAGACCCAGGACAAGCTCTTGGCTGTCTGCCCGCCTCTGGCAACTCAGTGGAAGCCGCAACCCGAGGCCACGCCTGAGGAGCGCCTGCCCCAGAAGGCCCAGCAGCTGCGTCAGCTGCAGGCCCAGCAGGGACGGCTCAAGAACCAACCCATCCATGCTGCGCAGACGCAGAAGGACCTCGAGACCAAGCTCAGGACCAACATCGACGAGTGCTTGGCACACAGGCAGAGATCGACGAGCTCGTCGGCAAGACGCAGGCGGCTGGACCCCAGTCGGAAGCACGGCAGGCGCAGCAGGCTCAGCAAGCTGAAGACGAAGGGTTCCCAGAGTTGGGATCAGAAGAGATGGCATCCCTCGACGAGACCACGCGCAAGCAGTATGAAGAGGCATCGGCAGCTCACAAGAAGGCTCGCACCGCGCTCAAGTCAGCCACAGACGCGGGCAAGGCGGCACGAGAGGCAGCTGAACGATTGCGCTAAGCACACCAATCTATCAAGCGTCGACGAGGGCAGGGTGGCCAGGCCCAGGCAGCAGATGCAGACAAGGACCAGACGAAGGAGATCGCCAACCCAGCAGCGGTGGATTTCACCAATGCGGCCGAGATGGACCTGTACATCTCGCAGACGGCGGCGATGCGTGCCAGGGCCAAGGGCGTCGCCAGCTGCGGAGCAGCTTGCTCCTAGCAGCACCAACTCGTCGGAGAAAAAGCCAAGACCTACAAGGATGAAGAGTGGCCATGTGGACGTGCTGTTCGCAAACGTCACGCACTACGGGGAGAAGGTGCGACACGACGTGGAGCACTGCAATTTTGACATGATAGGCCTGGCGGAGCACCACCTGCTACCCAAGGCCGCCAAGCAGGAGGCCACGAAGCTGCGATTCAAGGGGTGGCAATCGCAGTACACATGGACGCCAGCGACATCGACGAAGAGGAGTACGACAGGTACTCACAGGGGGTACGTGCTGGCTTGCCAGGGCAGGCCACGTCACGTCCACACCCTTGCCCGACGGCACGGGGCAAAGCGTATTTCAGCAAGAACTGCGAGACATCTCGATCATCCTCTCGCGTCTATGGTATTGCCTCGCGAGACTTTCGACCGTTCGTGAAAGAGTTCAAACCAGTGATGGAGGTACCATGGAGCCCGCACGTGGGGCTTCACCTGCGACTGCACTCTCGACCAGCTTCGGTCAAAATGCAGAGATGCCCATCCAGCCAGTGAAGATCGAGATCGACACCCACACGGTCCTCCGAGAAGAAGGACTCAAGCGAGCCCAGCGAGATCGTGAGCGATATCTCAAACTGACACAGAACAACGATGAGCATGGCGCCGATGCAGCTGAGCCAGGGGACCTTCACCACGACGAGCTAGCCCACCTCCTGGAGAGCACCTACCCGACGAAGCAGACGGATGCGGCCAATGATGCACACTGGCTCCAGGCGTTGGCAGAAACCCGAGGGCGACCAGTTCAGGAACCTGTTGGCGAGGTGGCTGATTCATGGGCGTATCGACTGGACCCCGAAGGAGCTTGCAGACTGGCCTACCATTTTGGAGAGCGGTCAGTTGCGGCAGAGCAGTCGCTGTGCATCATGACGGACTCAAAGCCCAAGACCACCGTGAGAAGGGGATGCAACCCCAAGTTCACGATGCGGAAGGTCACCATTCAAGAGAAATCCGACCCCTTCTTGTGGGAAGGCCAACTTGTGGGAAGCGCTGGCAGTCAGAATGCGTGAGCTGGCGATCCCCAAGGCCAGGCATTCGAAGAACGTCAACTTGAAGACAGTCGATGGCGTGATCAGATAGATCCCTGAGCGATCGCATTGCGTTACTTGACCAGGCTCAGGGGGGCAGCACCGACACGGACGCAGATAAGCAAGAGGACGCGAGGGCGCTGTTCAACTTATCACACTATTTGGATGGCAAGCCGTGCCCGGCGTTGCGAAGCCCAGGGACAGCCACACCGTCTAAGAAGCGCGGCAAAAAGAAAGCCGAGCAGGGCGAAACAAATACGGCGGCACCAGCGGTGCGACCCACGAATATGGACGAGGAGCACGACCCTTTCGCACAACTGGATGCGGAAGCAGACGAGCCAGACCTCCTTCAACAGCAGGTCGAAGAGGAGATGACAGACGAGTTTCAGCGACATGCGGCGAGTGCGGCGTCCACGGAAGCAGCGAGCCCAGCTACACCGTCATCGGCGTCAACAACAGGACCAGCTACCGCACTGGAAGAGGTCTAACATAGGATCCAGGCCCAACGCCATGCCGAGTCGCCACGACCCCCGTCAGAACGCCACCCAGGATGGGCCCCAGGAACCTGGCCAGGACCCGCGGCAGGACTCCATCGGTGGTCTGAGCGCGGCTGAGAAGGGGGGCGGACTTGCCCCACGGGCCAAAGCCACCGCCTGCCCAGGGGCGCCGTTCGAGGATACGCAGAGAGTCCACTTAGACTCCCAGCGAGGGACCAACCAGTCTCCCCAGCGCGGCGAGGGGTTAGGCCACGGCGGACATGTGAGGCGCGGGCCAGCTGCGCCCCTCACGGCGAGGACTGTGCTAGGTAAGCCCCTCGCGTCTGCCACCCACAGTGACCGGGAGACCAACGAGACGGAGCAGAGGACTGTGGCAGGTAGGCCCCTCAGCTACACCAGCGAGCAGCAGAGCGCGGTGTCGGAGCAGGCCGAACTCATCGCCGAGATCTATCAAAGGGCCGCTCGCCATGCCACCATGGCGTGGCGCGAACCTCGTGCCAAGGTCCGATGGCGGGCCAAGAAGGCGTCAGACAACTCGGTGAAAGGAGCACATCGGCATCTGAGCTCAGAAGAAAAGATCATCACCAGCGACGACTGCCTGGACCCCGACACGACGAAGCGGGAGATGGACCCGCAGCGCGGTATCCAACTTCGACGGCGACAATGGGAGCGACGTTGGATAGCGCACAAGGAGTTCGCCAAGGAGGAGCTCGCACCGGCCACGAGCGACCTAAAAACCAAGGCCAAAGAAGACCTCGTCGGGCGGCCCTACCGCACGATGAAGAGCATGGAGATGGCGTCGGGCAGCTTCCAGGCAGGAACGGCTCGGCGCTGACCAGTGGGCCCCCGACCAACCCCGAACACTCAGCCCGATGTGCAAGGAGCCTTTCCTCCTCATACTGAACACGTGCGAGCGGCAGCTGCCCTGGCCGCATCATATTACGCAGATGTGGCACGCGGTGCCCCCGAAAGCCTATAGGGCTGATGCCGATGACAATGCGAGTATGGGAGCAAATGACGAAAAACCGGCGAACGGAATGGTGTGACCGAAAAGCGGGGTTCTGGGATGCTGCGGTGGGAAAGAGTTCGGCGTGGCAGTCAGCGTTGCTCACACTGGTCCTGGATGGCACCCGAGCCAATCTGAACGAAGCTAGCCAAACTACGTTCTTCCAGGACTTCGAGCAGCTTTATGGTCTCGTTGATTTGGGGATCCTAGCAGTACGAGCCTCAGAAGTAGAATACCCCCCAGTCGAGCTGCACACGCGCATAATGTCATACCTGTGCCCTCGACTCGTCAAGGCCAATAAGATCTTCAGTGATTTGATTATTCCAGATAACGGCATGGTCCTTGGCCGTGGCAAGGCCAATCATGGAGCTCGAGCCTTACTCTACCATGTACTCGGGGAAGTACACCGTGCTGTGCCGATAGCGAAGTTGCGGCAGTTCGTCAATGGCATTACGCTGAGTCGAGGGGCCCGACGACGTGGTAGGAGCAGCGGCGTCGAGAGCAGCGAGCGTTCTGGTTGGACGTTGTCCCACGGCGAGGCCCAAGATCTCCAGCAAGTCCGCCATCCTGGCCCAGAACCCCCAGGACGCCCTATAAGGTCGAGAGGCCCCTGGCAGAGCTCAATACAACCATAAAGAGGGGGAAGGAAATGAAGGACCGAGGGCCGCAGCCATTTTGGCTCAAGGTTTTGCGTTTCCCAGGGAAACGAGTGGATACCGCTAGTCCGCGGCTCGACCCCCAGAGTTCTCATCGCGCCGCTGTGTGAGCCGCCAGGCGACGCAGCATCGAGTTTTGCACCCTTGCTCACTCATGGGCAAGACCTCGACTGGCCATGTCAAGTGCACGCAGTGCGCATATAAGTGGACGTGGCGAGGCAAGGATACATGTTTCTCGTGCAACCTCCCGCTCGAGATCCCCGCATACCCTTGGCGCGAGGCCAGCGGGGCCTGGTCTGCCACGGGCTGGAGGTCCCGCACATACGGCCACGGCTACGGCAAGAAGAAGGGGCGAGGCCAGGCAGCTACCGCAGACGACGCCAAGGCCTCCCTCGACTCACTACTGCGTGAAATCGAATCTCATGTGGACGCCGACAGCCAGGCGGCCCTCGACACGATCAAGAAGGTGGTCATGCCGCCGCCCAAGGAGCACGTCGAGACCCTGCACGCCAAGTACCAGAGGCTCGTGGGGCGGAGCGACGGGCCAACCAAGCGCTGGACAAGGCAGCGCTATCAGAACACAAGGCGGCGGTGCGGCTCACGGAGTGCCGAGAGCGCACCGCAGAAGCAGCTGACGCTCTGGCCAAGGCTAAGAAGGACGTCAGCGACACGCTCGAGCAGGTCAACCGTGAGCGGGCCACGACACCCCGCAAGGAAGGCCCATCCCCCGCAATCAATCTCACCCGTCTCCTGTCGCAGGACCTCGAAGACCTCATCTTCGAGGGGGGCGAAGCGTTCTCGACAGAGGGCCTGGACCTCGACGAGGCGGAGAAGAAGCAGTGGGAGACTCACAAGGCGGCCTTCGCCAAGGAGCCCAAGTCCGCCGTCAAGCAGGCGTTCGGAGCAACGGCGGAGGAACTACAGAGGAGGCGCCGCGAGCTGGAGGAGCTGCGCCAGCGGCTCCACTCCAAGAGGCGACGCACCGACGACTCAGACCCAGTGGAGGAGGCGCCCCAGCCTGCCCTTGCCGCCCCTGCCGCTGCGACGGAAGGCGCAGGCGCCAGCGACAGGCCGAAGGCTGCTGAACCTGGTGCATGCGCTCCTGCTGCTGACGCTGCTGAACTGGCCCGTGCAGCTCGCCAGCGGGCAGCAGACGGCGCGCAGCCCCCAGGGCCAGGAGGACAGCCCCCACCAGCAGCATCGGGGCTTTAGCTCGACCAAGCGGCACAGGCGCGGCACAGATAGGGGCCGCGGCGGGCTTAAGCCGCACCAGAGGCCTGGGCTGCAGATGGCCGGGCTCAACGCCAACACATGGACGACAGTGATTGGCTACATCGACGGGGCCACCGACCTCGCGCCGCATCATATCTTCTTTCTTCGGGAGCTCCGGCTCCCACCAGACTGGCGTGACGAAGTGGCCACCTCGTGTTTCGGACGGAATCTTATTGCAGCTTTCACATCCTCCGCAATGGGCGAAGGAGGGGGAAAGGAGCGCTGGGGTTGGAATCCTAGCACCACGCAATATTGGCCTCACAGCCTGGAGGACAAGAGCGGCTACGACGTTTCACCTCCAGGCTCGGAAGGCAGAGTGGCAGCAGCATGGACCCCAGCAGGACAGGCTGGATGACTCATGCATATCAGTGCCTATTTCTGGACCAACGAGGCTTGGACCATCAGGAACCTATCCATCCTCGACGCTATCGGAGACCTCATAGTCTCGTGCGGAATCCCCTGGGCGTTGCAAGCTGACTTCAATAATGACATCCAGTCGTTGGTGGACACAGGCTGGATAGCAGACGTTTCTGGAGTGGCTCTGGCCCCTGACGAACCTACGCGTGCTGGGATGGGAGGCGGTCGCACGATCGACTACTTCATTGTTGACTCTACCATCGCTGGGGCCTTTGGACAGGCCACGGTGCCGGACAGCGCCGTCTTCCCTCACTCGCCAGTACAGATCACGCTTCAGCGAAGCATACGTGTCAAGAAGCATGGTTGGAAATTGTCTCGTCCGAGGCCATTTCCCCTACATAGGCC